GGGCATTTCCTGAGAGTCTTGCCATCATTAGCAGAGAAACTCAGTTTTGCCCATAGCTCCTTAGTGCTATGGTTAGAGATAGCTCCAAAGTATATGTTATTCTTGAGTCACTAGATTTCACATCTAAAGCTTATCACTTTTATTCAGCAAATATCCACTGCGTACTTAATAGGTGATATTCTGGGTTTTTGTTGTTATAACAGATTAACTGAGAGGATAAATATGTAAATAACTCAAGAAAAGCCTTCTTTCCCTCAAATTACTTTTCCTTGTCATATCAGTGTCCATTCCAATGTTAAAGTAGATTATTTTACTGCTTTGCATTTGAATTATTAGTATTTTGAATGTATTATTCTATATCCCTAGTAAGAATGTCTCTCTACTATTAGATTGAGAACTGAGTGGTTTAAAAACTAAAAACAAACCCTTTACTTTTAACATAAGTATATTTTCTCCCTTGGACTTTGGTTGCTAATTAAAGCATTTAGCAGTGTAATTAAAAGTAATTTAAATGGCTAATTAGATAACATTCTAGAATAATTTCCAGTAGTGCATTCCTTCAAACAAAGCATCCATCATTTAGGAGTGCAATTTGTCACTGAGTTACTGATACAAATGCAATTATGTTAAATGGAAGAAAGCATCTACAAATCAACTTTGGTTCTTTGAAAAAGTTGTCATACACAGTAACTTTCAAATAATTCTTAAAGGGTCAAAGGAGATACTTGGAAAATTTCGATCTCCTTATTTTAGTTCTTTTCAACTGTTTAGCTTCTGATTTAATATCATATTTTTGACAGCTAAGCTGCATTAAAGCTATGTCTGTGTACACATATTTTGACAAAATTGACTGATGAGTCTAATCAGCCAAATTGTCCACTTAGTCAAACAAATGTTCTGACTGTATAATTTGCTTATTTATTTTGTTTCCTTGTTCAATTGACTTGTTTTCTAACTTAATTTAACTTAATTGGTTATGTAAATAAAATATAGCCAGATCAAGTCAATGTTTGGCCATAGTGTCAATGTGCTTTTTAAAAAGTTTATACCAAAGTCAAGAAGCAAATTGTCTTTTAGGAAATACTGAAAATTTACTAAAAAATATAATGGGGAATTCTGATGACAGGGTCCTCTTAGTTTTATAAATAGAATCTCTAAGATTCTATTTATGTGGGTTGTAATCATATACTGGATTCCCAAATTGGGCTATTTTTATTAGGGCATTCTTTTACTTAAAATAATAAATACATTAATGGGAATATTTTTATCTATGAAATCTTGATAATGAAGAGGACTTTGTGCCTAACTAGCCATGTAATTTTTAAATGACAGATAAACAAGGTTATTTCATTTTAGTTGTAATAGAAACTCATTTCATATATTCAGTGTCATTTCTGAAAAATAGCAATTTCAGGATATTCTGTTAAAATATTGATTCATGGTTGTCTTTTAAAAATTATGGTGTAGCTAACCTCTAATTATATTAAACTCTTTCATCAGTGCTGTGGTTGTACTAGCTTGTTTATGTGAGAGAGAGACAGAAACATGCAAACAGGAAAGAAGAGGTTAAATAACAATGACATTGCAATTAAGAATTCAGTAAGTGTATCTTGAGAACTTTAAGTGACCTACTCTGAATATTTATGGGGTGTGTGATTTATACTTTTTCTAAAATACTGTCTTTGAGAAACTCTAATGTTTTTCCAAGTTTGATTGGTTTCACAAACCAAACTATATTTTCTCTTATTTCAAATGAAAAATCTGTATAGTAATATAAATTTCTATTTCCCTACTCCATCTCTCTTTTTTTTTTTTACTTTCCTTCTCTTCCCTTTTGCTTCCACAATTCATGCTGCATTAAAAAGTTAAAAGAAAAACTGTATATATTTATTTATGTATATTTTCATGTATGTGAACATTAGTGAGTTAATCAACTATCAAAGCAAATTTTTAGCGGTCATATACATATCTCTAGAATTAATTTCCTTATGTGGAAATCAACATATTTGACAGTTGATAAAGAATTTAGAGTTTTATGCTTCTAAAAATAGACTTGTTAAGCTTTACAATCCAGCATCAACTTTCAATAACATAGTAATTATCTTCATAATCTTGGTTTTGGAGACTGTTAAATTTGACATTTTTTTGTATAAAAATGAAATGAAATATTCAGATATGTAAAGCCAACAACAAACTCAAAAAGCATATTTTCCGAATATATATATAATTAGCTATATACAGCATATTTATGTCAGCAAATTATGCATAAATGCCAGGAGCAACTCTCAAAGAAATATACTTGACCGATACATACGGACATATATTCTGTTGTAAAAGTTGAACAGAGAAAATTAAGATAAGGTTGTTATATCATGCCTTTGTCTATCATAATAGCAGAATATAAAGGAGTCAGAAATATTTAGTTTTGCAGAAAAGTTGCTGCTAAAAAATGTGTACATTTTTTATTAAGTTTTTAGACATCACATCATTGATATTTGTCAAATGAAAGTATATTATCCCCAATGAATATGTCATGAATATATTTGGAAAATAATATATTGTCAAAATATTATCATAAGATAAGATACATTTTTCCTTTTTTTCATTTTATGGCATAAATGCATTGGGACATTCCTAAATGTGCATCAACACATAGGGTAAATTAAATAATATTTTATATGTATTATGTAGATATTAAAACTGAGGTATATAATAAAGGCCTAAAAATATTTCTCCTGTATATTATTATTAAATTAAATAATATAAAATATTATACACCATGTGTTGTTGCCTGAGTGAAACTTACCTGTTTAAAATAAAAAGTAGAATGGGAGAAAATAAAATATATTTGTCTTTCTATAATTTTTTTTTTAAGATTTATTTATGCATAGAGTAAGTAGACTACAGGCCAGAGTGGGAGGTGAAAGGATTTACCAGAGACAGAATGGGGAGCAGAACAGGCAGATGACTGAAACCCACTGCTGAGGGGAGCAGCAGACAGGTCAGAAGAGGTCTGCTGGGCCATGTGGGTAACCTCACTGTCCAGGGATCGAACTTGAACTACTGCCGCAGTGGTGTCAGATAGCTTCATAGTGCTTTAACCAATTGCTCCACTAGGGAGGGCACTTTCTATACAAATTCTAGTAGAGGGTTCACCATTGTTAAATGGGAACCTTCCAAAATTTTGGGAAAGTTCTAAAAAGGCAATTGAAGAAAAACTTGAGTTTTCTCCATATAAATCTCTACTTTCTTAAATAAAGAGCATCCATTATCTTCATAATTAAATCATAAATTATACGATTATGTCAATCATTGCTAAAGACCAACTGTTTAAGTTGAAATAGAATTGTGTATGTGTAAGAACACAAGGAAAAAATTACTGCACACCATCTGATTTTTTCTGGGCTGGATGAACAAATTACCACAAAGCAGAGTAGTAGGCATAAAACCCCAAATTTAATAATAGAAAATAGAGCATTTCAAAGAATAAATTCCAAAGAAAATGGGACTTTATTTCTAAAGTAAAATGAGAAGGGAAGGTGAGCTTCCTGTGAAGAAGAGGGGATGATTTTATCTTCACATGTAAAATGATGAATTTTTAGATAGAAAGAACGTATTTACTGGAAAACCTGGATGTTACCCCTCAAATTACATTCTTATAAATTATAAAAAGTGAGGAGTAAATTCCTCTTTAATTAGAGAAGGGTGGAGGGCTGAGACAAGAACAAGAGCTTCTCTTCAGCTCATATGAATTTAGAGGCTCTTATCTCAAAATAATCTACATTTCTTAAATAATGGTGACAGATTTCCTGAGTGTCACAGGGCCTGGTTTAAATTCAGTTCCCATATCCAGGTAACCTTTATTGGTAGAGGTTTACTCTGAGCTTATTTATGACCTTTGGGGGATTCTGACTCCATGTACAGTGTAAAATCTTATGTGTATATGCACACATATATGCACATGTATGTGTATATATATATACGCACACACAATATGTATGTACATGTTGTACACACATGTATATGTGTATACATACACATATGCATATATGTATGTCTGTGTGTGTGTATGTATGTATGCACACATATGCACATGTTAAAGATTTATTTATTTATGCATCCAGAACTGGGATACAAGGCAGAGGTGCAGGTGCAGTAAGAGAATTCATCAAAAGATAGTGGGGAGCAGAACAAGCAGATAAATAAATTACTGCTGAGGGGAGCTGCAGGCAGGCCAGGAGGAGAGGTCTGCTATGCCATGTGGGAGCGCCTCAGGGGCAGGGAACTGAACTCTTGCTGAAGTGGATTTAGCTTTGTAATGCTGTCCTTTAACCCACTGCACTACCAGGGAGGGCCCGTAAAGTCTATATTTTTTAGCTTTAAAATGAGACATGCATGCTATAATGGAAAATTACCATAGATTTTCTAAAAGGTGCTATATTTTAAAAATAAGGTAATTATATACTGTATTGCTCCATGGTGAGAGACTGATCCCACAATTGTATGTATATTCAACATTGGGGTATTTCCTTAAAGACAAAACAACCTTATTGAGAATTTTATCTGCAACCTGAATATGTTAATATATTCCTTAGCTCAAATCCCCTTTGAAATGCCCCCCCTGCATTCATAAGGAAAAAGTTGTGTTTAAGTAGTTTTTAAAATTATACACTGTAACTAGCTAAAAGGGGTCAATTATACGATGAAAAATAGAATTGGACTTTTAATGGTGAACTTGATGTCATATATAAAAATGTTCATTTTTTAATGATGTACCTAAAGCTTAAATAGTGTTACAATGTAATGGCATTTCAATTAAGGAAAAAAAACTCTTTAAAAAGTTTCTGAAGTGAGAGATTATTTATCTTAGTTAAAATGATGAATTATAACAGCTTTTTTGTTTGGTATCCGTTTACTTGACACTCAGAAAAGAAACACAGGTAGTTCTCCTTTGTATATAGTAAAGTTGACATATTTTCTCCTTTTCCTCTTTGCTGCAGCTTTCAGCCGTGCCCCAATCCCAATGGCTGTTGTCCGCAGAGAACTCTCCTGTGAAAGCTACCCCATAGAACTTCGCTGTCCAGGAACAGATGTCATCATGATTGAAAGTGCCAACTATGGGAGAACTGATGACAAAATTTGTGACTCCGATCCTGCTCAGATGGAGAATATACGATGCTATCTGCCAGATGCCTATAAGATTATGTCTCAAAGGTATGATGCTTTAAAATTTTTTGTGTGTGTACTTCACATAACTTCTTAACATATGCATAACTGTGTACTATATTAAGCACAGGTAAGAATATTGTATTGTGTTTAAAAAAAAGAGCAGTCAGTATTTTGTTTAACTACTTTTTTGATAGCCAGTTATTCCCAGTATAAATAAATGCAAATCTGTGTTTTCTAGAACTAGGTTCATAAAATAAGAATGTGAATTTATTTTTATAGTGTCTGGAAACAAAAGCATGTAGTTTTCTTTAGAGATTACCAAAAACTTATTTTACTATTAACAATTTCTCACATGTGGGGAAAAGAACATAGAAACAACATTTTTTTTAATAACCATTGATCAAAAAATTGTTAATGATTTCCTGGAAATCTCTGACAAAAATATTATTTTGCTATTATTATTACTATATGAACTAATTAATTTAGTACAGTTAAGCTAGCAAAAGCATGGCCACATTAAAATAATATAAAATCAGGTGCTATGTAATATTGCTTGATTAAAAAAAAAGAATATAAACTCTAAAGAGACTAGTAAATAAAAATCCACACAATAGAAGGCTTAAATTACATTGTTAACTGTTTCCAAAATGTTTGTTCACTCTTATGACTTTTCACAGGTCATGGCAAAGTTACTCATTTATTGCAAACTAATTTTTAAATCAGTAAACATCTCATTTACTGAAGGTAGTTTTCATTATGATATCTTTTTTTTTCTTTCAGTTGTAGGATCCTTAAAATATAGGATAAGAAAAAATAACATATAATATTAACTTGAAATATAAAAAAAATCATTAGATTTCAAGGATTATCTTTCTAAGGTTTAGACAGTCTGTCTCCTTATTATTAATATCCTGATATGTGTATGTTTACAAATGGTTAAAAAATTGGTGGCATACATATCTTGTTTTTATAACTTACTATTGACTAAATTAAAAATACAAGTTATAACATAGTAGGATTTTTTGACAATAAATGTATCTGAAAGGTATAATTCAAAGACAGAAGTCTTCCAAGGCAAACCTGAGGGCTATTGTTCGTCTATTTCTAAATTGATGGCTCATGCTAAGGTAAGTATTAATGAGAACTGGTATGTTTTTTTTAAATATTTATTTATGCATACAGAACTGGGGTACATGCCAGAGGTGCAGGGACAATGAGAGGATTCATCAGAGATAGAGTGGGGAGCAGAACAAGCTGACTGATGAAGTGAAGCAGGCGGGACAGGAGAGGTCTGCTGCACCATGTGGATCACCTCAGGGGAGGGGAGCACACTCATGCTGAAGTGATTTTAGCTTCTTAGTGTTATGCTGAAAGCCATTGTGCCACCAGGAAGGGCTCAATCAATGGCATTTTTTACATTAAGAATTCTTTTTGACAGAAGTTTGCATTTGTTTCTTCCTGTGATTCTCTTACCTTGTGTGTGTGTGTGTTTGTGTGTGCATATCTCAAAGCTGTCTGATGTTATGCCTAAAATAATTCTGATAATTTTTATTATAGCATTCTTTCAGGAGTAGTTTTCTGTAAATAGTTAAAAAAAAAAAAAAAAAGGAACTGTGACTAAATTGTTGTTTTACTTGTTTTTGTCAGGCTACCAAAGATAAAATTTTTGAGAAACCATTTAAGCTTTCGGTTGAGGAAGGGATTCTGCTTTTCTGTGATTAGATTTTATTTTAAATATAGTAGGGACATTAACTCTACTAGTTCTTTGATCTGTATTTGATTTTCATTAAAGTTGTTTTTAATCTTTTCATTGATATTATTAATGGCTCCCAAAATAAGTCGTTAATCTTATAATTATTGTTTAAAAAAATAGTTGCAATGGGTTCTCTGGAACCATGATTTATATGGGATGTGTCTGTAAAGTGACAAATCTGCAAAGTAAAATTGCTTTAAGCTCCCTTAGTAAATCATTTGTGTAAGCCCTCCTGGTGGTTTCTCAAGTAAGAATTGTCATTTAACTGAAATAACTGTGGTTAATTCTCCATGGAAGCAAGTCCCTTACTTGCATTTGGACTATTAAATGTATTATATTTACATTTATCCAAAATGAATGCTATTTTCTAAGCCTCCAAAATATGAAAGGAGTAGTGTATACCTAAGCTGCTTTTTTTTTCTTTTTTTAAGATTTATTTATTTGTGCATACAGAACTGGGGTACAGGCCAGAGGCTCAGGGGTGGTGAGAGGCTTCACCAGAGACAGAGTGGGGAGCAGAACAGGCAGATCGACGAAGTACACTGCTGAGGGGAGCAGCGGGCGGGTCAGGAGAGGTCTGCCACGCCATGTGGTCACCTCCAGGGCAGGCGGGAATCGAACTCATTTAGAAGCGGCTTTAGATTCTCAGTGCTGTGCTTTAACCCGCTGTGCCACCAGGGAGAGCCCCTAAGCTGCTTTTTTATGAACTTTCACTGCTGTATCAATGACAACAAGTCAAATAATGCTAAGAAACTAATTGTGATATGGACATATCAGACTAGTAGACATATAAACAGTTTAACGCATAATAGAAAACGTCTTTTCTGACATGCACCTTAGAGTCACTAGTGTGCTTTCTTTAAACTTGTGGAAAAGGGCTATGTCAGGGTCTAAGCACTGGTAAGCATGTCATTAGATGGCAGAATTACTATTAAATACCAAAAAATGGTTTTGTATCCTTGCATGAACTTGTTAAAAATTCCTCATAATTTGGTTCAGCCTCATAAATTAGACAGATGTCACTGGCAAAGACAGACGTGCAATGTTTTCATGCAGATGTTTAAATACACATTGAACAAATGCATAAATAATACTGAATATAATATTAATATGTTAAATGTGAAAGATTAAGGACTTGAGTTAAAAGGATATTACTTTTTTTTTTTTTAAAGATTTATTTATTTGTGCATACCGAACTAGGGTACAGGGCAGAGGCTCAGGAGTGGCGAGAGGCTTCACCAGAGACAGAGAGGGGAGCAGTACAGGCAGATTGACAAAGTACACTGCTGAGGGGAGCAGCGGGTGGGTCAGGAAAGGTCTGCCACGCCATGTGGATCACCTCCGGGGCTGGTGGAATCGACTTCATGCTGAAGTAGCTTTAGCTTCTTACTGCTGTGTTTTAACCTGCTGCGCCACCAGGGAGGGCCAAAAGGATATTACTCTTTTCTACACTTTCCCTCAGTAAATCATTGTAGTCTAGTATCTACTCTAGGGATGCCATTTTCCTCACTAACTTACAGGTCAGACCACATGTTCTCAAGGTATGTTCTCAAGGTATGTTCTCATCCATTCTGCCACCTCTCCATCAAATGGTCTGTGTTTAAAATATTTTGTTACTCTTCTAGTGATCTTATTCATTTGATGGGTTATGTTCATTCTTTTAGAGCTTCTAATTTCAGTCAATTATCATCTATTTCCCTTTTGATTGCATTTAAACATTAATAAACCTGTAATATCACACATTAAATAGTTGCTTTTTATAAAGCAAATTATAAGATTCCAGGAAGCATATCTTCTGTTAATTTTAATGGGCACTATTTTATATGTAAATAAATAAATATGCCCTCTATTTTTATGCCACTTAAAAATTTTATGAGTTACTTTTATTAATTTGTTTTGCATTTCTACACATCAAAGAAACTTTTTTTAAAAAGTGTACATAGCTTTGGAATCTAAAGTGAAAATGAGTGTTGGCAACTGATAATGCAGAAAGTCTACATTTTTAATTCATTTGAGCTTTCATGTTGTCATGAGTTATTAATAGAATTGTTTCCATTTTTAACTTCCCCAGTGCTTGAAAGTCCACAGTATGCATTTCACAAAGAGAGTTGCACTGGAGTTTGGTAGATAAATAAGTCAGGCGTGGTTTCTACCCACAAATCCCTTGTTTTCTCGGCAGATAAAAAAACATAACAGCATCTCTCTTGCTCAGTGTTTTATTTTTAATTCATATACATTTATTGAAGAGTTGAAAAAAGGGGAATGCTCTTTTGGCTCAATAATGCTAAGGACCTGTCATTGTAGAAGAGTTTAGCTGGTAGCCTAAAGTTGCTATCAGGTATATAAGTAGATTAAAGTCAAAAAGAATTATGCCCCTTGATACACCTTTCAACTAGATTTGTCTAATCATAGCTTCAGAAAATTATTGTTGTTTTGATGTATCCTGTTTGATCTAAGAATTAAAATTGTGCCACTTTGGGACTGCTGTTTTAAAGTTCACTGTTCCTTTCTATTTTAAGTGACAGTTAACCAGAATATACTAATGCTTTAATAGTTATGAATGTAAATTGCTACTAGCCCCAACTTGGAATATTTCTGCTAATGTTCATTATTTTGTTTTTATTTGTTATCTTCATTTTTTGTGTGCCACAGATGGAGACTCCTTACATATGTACCTTGTACATTCTTTTAATGATATTTGATGATTAAAATAGTTTGATGCTATCCCCTTGTCAATATAAGCTCCTATGGGAGTTCTTCATTAATTTAGGCATCACTATAAATATAGAAACATAAATACCATATATTACTGTACACTTATGTCAGCTTTTAGTAGCCTTTTGATATGCCAGTCTTAATTTTCATTAAATTACCTACATTTTTCAAATAGAAAAGGTATACAAATTTGGAACACACATATATGCATGTAAAATTACTTCGGCTAAGTACATGCAAAACAATTTTACAGAGTTGTAGAACTCATTGAGTTTTCATAAATCAAGCTCATTTTGTGAAGACACAAAATTCCACCTGTGACATATTCCCGTTTGCTATATTCAAGCTAAATTGACCTTTGCCCTCCTTTTCCTTTATCCCCCCTCTCCCTCCTAAGGATTATCTAGAATGAAACTTTTAATATACTAAATTAACTTTTTCCCATTGGTAATTTTAACAAATGGGTCTGTATGGCATGTGATTTATTTGTCGTCCATATTTCATTTAATGCATTTATTGTGAAGATGACTTTATTAAAGCATTTTTACATACCATAGAATTTAAAGTTTACAGATGT